TTCTTTCTTTCTTTCTTTCTTTCTTTCTTTCTTTCTTTCTTTCTTTCTTTCTTTTTCTTTCTTTCTTTCTTTTCTTTCTTTCCTTCCTCCCCTCTCCTTTGCCCATCCAACCCACCCACTCAGTTGTTCATTCCCTGAAACAACTTCATCCTTTCTTCTCAACTCTCTCTTCTACCAAGAGCCTCTTCCCAGAATACTTCCATATGCCCATCTCTTTTTCCTCTACATAATTCATTTCTGGGAAATCTATGAAAAAGCTATATCCTGTTTTAACTAACCCAAAGCACATGTAATTAAAATAATCACATGTTCTTCTCATGTTTTACCCTCATCTCTCTCTCAAACAGAATTCTTATCTGTTTTGGCAGGGCAAATTCCTTAGCTTAAAGGTCCCTTAATGCATCTTGAGAGTGGATTCAGTTTTTCTTTCTTCCACAGATACATGGTGGAGTGTGGTATAGCCTCTTAACAGGTGAAGATTACTATGCTGTGGGAAAACACCCAGCAAAACCTGCTTAAAGCAAGAAAGTGAACTTGCGAGACTGTGCACATTCAGACAACCCATTCATTATGGCTTATGGTTTGTTAAGAATACATCCAACCGTTTGCACAAATTTCCCTATGCAACTTGCGAACTGCCACAAATGCTTGTTCAGCATTTGTATTAGAGCTTTTGTAATATCTGTCAGTGACTTCCACCTTAATTAACCAAGCAAACAAGTCTAAGAGCAGGCAAAAGTTGTGGGCAGACAAGAGTACTCTAACCAACCCAGGAGCAGCCATTGGCAAGCTGTGTGAAGTTGCAGGCAGAAGCCAGACGCCATACTGCCCAGAGACACTTCTTCGTGAGATGGGCGGTATCTAAATTTGAAATATAAATAAATAAAAATAAAAATACTGAATGAATTCACAACAGCTATAAACCACAATGATTGTGATGTCTGAACCCAGACTATGTCCAACTACTAAAGAAATAAAAAATTTCACACACCCTCCCAAAGCATGAGTTCTTCCTTCATTAGTATTTTCTTCCCTCCTGGCTCCTATGAACGTGGCAAAAAAGAAAAAGAAATCTTGGGAATGTTTAGTTCATTCCCAGAAGAAATGCTACCAGAACTTTCCCCTCCATTTGAGTTTAAAGTAATCAACAAAGCAAGATTGGAATGTTGTCAAAATATGTAACCCACTGTTGTCACAGAGTGCAGGAGGTGCCAATCTGCACGTTAGGCTTCAACACCACTAATTTTTGTACTGTACACACCAGAGATGCCAGAGAAATATTAGAATCTGAAATACCAGAACTCTTTCCCCACTGTTGTGATACTGAGTTAGCAATTTTTTAAGGGACTGCATACATTCAGAGGGGAAAATATGCAACAGCAGTAACAATCCTTTTCTTTTACAGCATCTAAATCATGTAACTCAGCTTCAGGCAAACAATGAAGACTTTAAAAGTCTGACATTTTGTTTTGTTTGTCATCCCTATTTTTCTCCTTAAATTATTTTATTTTGCTTTTCTTGTACGTAATAGTATTCGCTTTTTTAAAAAAATTGCACGTGAATATTTGGGGAGAATTTATTTTTTTAAAATGCTATTAGCGCATAATTCAGTTCATCATTTGGATCAGCTGATTAGATCAGAGCACCGCGGTCTAATTTACCCTCTTTGCTCTTTCCTCTTATCCATAGGTGTGCAACTTGCCCTCCCTCCCAAAGCCTTGGAGCTCCTAGCCACCTCCCAAAGCGCTAGCAAGCTGCAGTTTTAAATGTGTCTAAAATACTAAAACCAGAACTACATCCGCTGCATTTACTTAATATAATCATTTTTTTCGTTGTCCTGCTTCACATGCTTTTTTATCCTGCCCGTTTTTTGCACGCCACCCCAGATTGCCAAAGGTGGCCCTAGCCTTGAGTGGCTGCTAACCCGAAAGAGCTCTACACATGCCCAGAGACGCTCTTTTCTTCCCTTGCGCTTGCCCAGGGCTCGGGAACAGTCTTCTGGTGGCGGGAGAGAAGCCAGAGGGGCCGCAGGGCTTCGTTTGAATGGAGCTAGGCGGGAGCTGGCCGCTCTCCCTCCTGCAGCGGCGTGCAGGAGGAGGAGGAGGAGGAGGAGGGAGGCGCGGTGAGGCAGGCGAGGCCTGCGCGCCGGAAGTGAGCGCCGACTGCGGGGAGAGGAGAAACCCCGGCCGGTTGGGGCTCGCCGACGCTTGCGGTGGCTGCGGTTGCGCCGA